AGAAGGGGAGCCAACGAAGAGGGCCAGAGTGGGGCTGTAGCAGCAGCATGTGGGCTGAAAGAAGCTGCTGTTGTCCAAAATGACATTAACTCACAAAAATAATATTTTGGTATGGAAAAATAAGCACAGTATCCTGGAATATATTTTTTTAAGAAAGGAAGAAGGTGTCATATAATCATTAATAATTTATTAAGGATACCTGTAGGGTTTCATGAGCAATGAGATACCCATCAACAAAAGACGTATACTTCACATACAATACAGTACAGTGCAATGAAACCACAAAAATCAAGTTTAGTTATACCCTTTTGCACTCTCAAAATGTTGGTTTTTGTGGCTCTAATCTGTTCTGTGCTAAGAAACTGTCCTGACCTACTCCTTAGAACTGTGTATAAGATACATGGGTGTGAGGGGCTTTGTGGAAAGTGCGTCATCTTTTACTGACATATTTTCACAATTTGGACACTTGCTGTATATTGTTCTAATTTGTGTTCTGGGGAGGAGATTTGCTAGCTAGGTAAGTTAATAGCAAAAACAGCTATTTTATTTATCTCTTATCCCAGTAAAATGCAGAAAGTCCCATCGTTCACTAGAATTCACACCATTTCTGAATGAATAATCATTTTCTGAACCATGTATTTAGGAAAAGAATGAAGTGAATGCTAACAAGTGATTGTGCCACAGTGACCTGTGACTTTAGAACATCCTCAGCCATTCTCTTTTTCTTTTTTTTAAAGATTTTATTTTACTTATTTGAGAGAGAGACAGAGTATGGAGTGGGAGAGGGGCAGAGGGAGAGGGAGAAGCAGGCTCCCCCCTGAGCAGGGAGCCCGATGCGGGGCTCTGTCCCAGGACCCTGGGATCATGACCGGAGCCCAAAGCAGATGCTTAACCGACTGAGCCAGTCAGGTGCCCCCATTCTCAGCCATTCTTACTTTTTCTTTTATTTGACTCCTGTTGCATTTATATTATTATTAATGCTAGCTCTGAAACTCAGCAAATGTGAAATAATCGAAGAAAATCTCCCCAGTTTATTTACACAGACATTGTTTTCATTCACATAATAACAGAGTGTCTTAGCTAAATGCCAATCCCTGGTGATAAAATTGTGGGTAAAATAGGCATGTCTTTAACCTTTCGAGCCCTTACAATGTGTGGGAACCTTTAGGATTATGAACATGAATAACTTAGACTTAAACTAAAAAAAGCCTCAGCGTTTATTCCTCTCTTTCTCCTTCTGGAGTAGGGGGTCATCTTTCCATCGTCAGAGAGCAAGACTAATTCAAGCATTGATCCTCCTCCTTGTGGACTGTTGTAATAACTGCCCTTTCACTTCCAATCCATCGAACTCATTCTTGGCAGAGAGCTTTTAAAAACACAAATCTGATATAATTCCTCTCCAGCTCTCTCAGATTCCAGTTCTGATTCTCTAGCATATCATTAAAAAGTGCTTTCTTAATCACAGCCTGCTATTGCCGGCCTCATGGTTATGCTGTTTGCTCTAGCTCCTGGGCTCTCCACTCTTCACATTTTGAGGCTTTCCCTAATATAACCACTATTACTCCATCCCCAGCAGAACCACTGAACCCTCCTGTATTTTTTTTATATATTTTGCAACAGTTTTAATGTTGTATTACATTGGCTTGTTTTTCATTGCTACACCCTCTGCTAGACTCAGAGGGTCAAAAGTAGAAAGTACCATGTCTTCTCATTTTAATCACAGTACTTTTGCATATCCCTCCCTGACTTATGGTAGACATCAATAAATGTCTGAACTGAATTTGAAGATACAGTTTCCAAAGTCAGAAACTCATATTTTACTAGATAGATGCACAACTACATAAATAACACTGGATAGTATATATTGATGCTAAATAAAATCATAAATTTCTTGAAATTATGATCACGTTCATCCTTCTTCCATATCCTTAACCCTGTTCTCCATCCTGACATTTCACTGGGTCCATAATTCCTCTTCACGTGCTTGACTGAATGAAGGAAAGAAGGCGTATCAGCAGTCTAGTGGACTTTACCTCCCATTATTACAAGCTTATATTACTCTAAAACCCTTTAAGAATGCAACACCTTCTGGTAATTGACCGGGAGAGAGATACTACAGGTATGAAGTACCATGAACAGGGGCGCCTGGCTGGTTCAGTCAGTAGAGCATGCAACTCTTGATCTTGGGATTGTGAGTTTGAGCCCCACGTTGGACATAGAGATTACTTAAATAAATCTTAAAAAAAAAAAACTGCATTAAAAAATACGAACAGAGAAAGCACACCATGAGAGGAAATATGAGCCCCCATACAAAGGCCATAAAGGCAGATTCTTCCAGTTGGAGGCGTTTTCTAGCATATGCAGTTTTAGTCCAAGGTGACTAATAACACAGCTGTTTGCAAAAAAAAAAAGATTGTGAAGAATTACTTATTTTAAGAAATTAAATTTTTGCAGAGACCATTAGGTAAATTTTAAACTATGTTTCTACCCTCATCTTTTTTTCTTGTGGAAAATAAATTTCTTCTCAAGCAGGTATTTATTTATAAGCAGAATTTTTTATTCATTTATGTCTTGTTTTTATACTTGTTAACTGCACCTGAACTTAGAATTTTATGGCCATAATTTCTCATGGAACTTCATACACTCTTGGACATCCACTAACTTTTATTTTATTTTTAAATATTTATTTATTTATTAGAGTGGGAGTGCGTGATTGGTGGGGGGGGGGCGGGTGGATTTCTTCAGCGGACTCTCCACTGAGTGTAGAGCCTGAAATGGGGCTTGATCCCAGGACCCTGAGGTCATGACCTGAGCTGAAATCAAGAGTTGGATGCTTAGCCAACTGAGCCACTCAGGTGTCCTGGACATCCACTAACTTTTAAATCAAATGTATTTAAAACACCAATTTTTATCTATAAAACTTAGTAAGAATTATGAAATGTTTGGTACAACCTTAATACCTAATTTGCAGTTGATGGGTTCTTTTTGTCGTTTGTTTGTTTTTGGAAAAAATTTTGATTTCAAGTCAGCGCCTTTGGAAAAAAATACTTTTTATATATATTGGATACAGTGGTCTTATTTGAATTCTGCCAGATCAAAACTACTGGAAATGAGGTATTGGTCTGAGGGGAAAATATTGTAATTATGAGGCAAAAGCAAAGCATAGGGGCAATCTGGTATAAGGTTTTTTTTCTCCCCCCATACCAGAAGTCTTTAAAAATAATATTTGAAATGGTTCTTGGGCTAGTGGATTACTTTTTTTTTTCTTTTTTGCGTTAACTCATTGGTAGTTGTTCTAATTACCTTGCAAAAGCCAGACTTTTTAAATTCACATGGGGAAAAAACTGCCATCTTTTGATTCGAACATTTAGTAATGATCCCTATTAACTCTGTACTGATTGTTAATTCAGTATTGCTAATTTGTGAGGCTTAGAACTTCGACTTAGTTTCTTTGTATTTGTTAAAACTCAAAGTACTCCAGAGCTATAAATCATTCTGAGTGAATGTACTAAAAGATTTTATTCTCTTTCTGTTGATTGCCTCATGGTTGTTTTTTTTTTAATTATATATTTTAATCAACTGCATGTTCATTGATTCTGGCTGCTATATTTTAGCGATTAAAATTCTTCAAGGCTACATAATTTTAAAGGACCTGTTCCCCTCTGGACAGTGAATACGCTATTGGTTGATAGTTGCTTTTGCTTTGATTATGGCTTTGAAAGACAAAAGTCTAAATTCTTCTTTTAGAACGTAGAAAAGCAGTACTCTGAAATTATAATTTATGTGGATGAAAGATATTAGTGTTTTGTTTGTTTCTCCACAGTATTGTTAAATTTTAAATAAGAATTTTCCCAAGTATTAGTTTATAAGTAGTCTATCAGGAAAGGGAATATTTTATTAAAACCCATAATCTGTTTGACTAGAGCCAAGACTTTGACATTGTAAGAAGAAATCGTTAGATTTACGTAATTAGTAAAATTAACACTTAAATAGGTACTTGTAGGAGTAGATTTTTTTTTTTTTTTTACATGAATGTTTCCATTGATTCCCCATCCCCCAGGAACTAATTTGTGGTTAGGTATCTAGTTCCCTTCCTTAAGAAATAATTTTCATTTTCTTTTCAGGGGTTGCAAAGTCTTATTTACAGAAGCTGTGCAAGAAGGGCAAATGAGAAAAGCAGGCTACTGTGATACAAGGAGGGATGGTGGGGCCTGAGACAAAGTGAAATTTTATGAATCATTTAAATATATACAAATTTCTTTATTTTTCTTTATTTTTTTAATAAAGATCTTATTTATTTATTAGAGACAGCGAGAGAGGAAACACAAGCAGGGGGAATGGGAGAGGGAGAAGCAGGCTTCCCGCTGAGCAGGGAGCCCGATGCGGGGCTCGATCCCAGGACCCTGGGATCATGACCTGAGCCGAAGGCAGACGCTTAACAACTGAGCCACCCAGGCGCCCCTAAATATATATAAATTTCTTTAAGCCGCTGTGCTATCAAAACAAAGAAAAAAAACCTTTGCCATGTGACTTTGCAACCTCTAGTTTATATTCATTCAATAACAAATTTTAACATTTGTATGTGGGTTATTTTTAAATAATAAATGTTTGTAATTATTGTGCTTATCTATATACATTTGTGTGGGCCACATGTTATTTTGATGGATTTTTTAAAAAACTAAACCAAATGAGGTAAAAACACTCTTACCTGATTCCTGAACCTTTTCCTCATGGCTAGTCTTAATCCCTATATTGATATTCAAGGGTAGGGTTGGCTTGATAGATGATGAAGGGTAGAGATTGTGTATTTTGACAGTTGTATCAAATCAACTCTATAAAAATATGACCTAAAGTCTAGCATTGTAGTGTTTGGAGGAAATTCATATTTTTCAGCTTTATTAAAATTTATGTTGGGTTCATAAAACAACAACAACAAAAAATTTAAAAAGAAGACTGTATCTCACCCTATTCATTGTTCTATGTATTTATATACTTTACAGCCTGAGGAAGAACTTGATCCTGAAGAGAGGGACAACTTCCTCCAACAGCTGTATAAGTTTATGGAAGACAGAGGTATTTCATGCTCATTATTTAAAAGTAGTTATTTCTTTTACAGTTTTACATTGTAGATTTATGCATTATTTTTATTAGAATCATGGGTATATAAATTTGGATTTTAAGTAAAGCCTAAGAATTAGTTACAGTTGAAAATAAGTATTTGGAATAAAAACAACAACTATTAATACTTATTTTGAGCAGGAATATATAGGAAAATTGTATGGGTATAATTATACTTAGTCTACTTGGGACTTACAAAACCAAAAAATGTTAAAATAATATTTCAGTAATGGAAAGGGAACAGTCATATTAATCTACATGCCCATTAGTTACTAATGCTGTCTTTGCAGCAAGTAAACTAGCTTGATCCTTGGTCTCAACAAATGAAACAAAGTAGGAGATCAATTCCTATCTAAATAGAAATAGGATTTTTTTTTTTTAAGATTGTATTTATTTGAGAGAGAGAGAGTGAGAATGAGCAGGAAGAGCGGCAGAGGGAGAGGGAGAAGTATACTCCTCGCTGAGCAGGGAGCCCGACTCAGGGCTCGATCCTTAGGACCCCAGGATCATGACCTGAGCCAAAGGCAGACGCTTAACCAACTGAGCCACCCAGGCACTCCTAGAATAGGATTTCTAGCATAGTTAAAAGAAATATGGGCTTTATAAATTATTCTTTTTGACTTTACATAAGTCCTGGAAAATCCTCCAGTAAATTGGTCCTAGGAATTCTGTGACTTTGAGAAATCATCCTTCAGGTTACTGCTAACAGTCTTAACACTTGTGTTCAAGCAGTGAAAATGGATCTATGCCCTAAATTGTACCCTTTCCATTGTGTATGTTCTTGCCCAGGCTACTTGAACCAGAAACATTGTTGGCTATGCCTTGCAGTTCTAGGTTTTAGTTCTACCCTATTCGGTGACAGGTGATTTTATTAGTCATAGAGGTAAATCTAGAGACTGCCACAATGCTGTATAAAGAATATAGAGAATATTTTGTGTTGCCTTACATAATTTAAGGGCCTTTAAATATATGCTTCTGATTAATAAAATTTGGGAAATTAGAAATTGGAAAGGTTTGTACTGATAGCCTTGTAACAGCATTTTCCATGCCTTCATGTTAAAAAGGTACTCCAATCAACAAACCACCTGTTTTGGGCTATAAAGATCTCAATCTCTTCAAACTCTTTAGACTGGTTTATCATCAAGGCGGATGTGACAATGTAAGTAAGGATGTAATGAAAAGTTAAATTATCTAATGTTGCACTGTTTAATGCACTGTAGGTAATAAACACATTTTCTTAATGAACCTAGAATATTAGTGTAAAGATTATTTCCCTTTGTAAATGTTAACAAATAAAAACTTAATTTTCCAGATTGATAGTGGTGCTGTATGGAAGCAAATTTATATGGACCTTGGCATTCCTATTTTGAATTCAGCTGCTTCCTACAATGTAAAAACTGCTTATAGAAAGTAAGTAGTATAGTTTATTCATCAAAGAATACATATTACAGGAATATTTTCCATTTAATTTGTTAACAATTAAACAAGAACACATCAAAGAACAATGAAGTTAGAGAAAGTGTATAAAAAGGTTTAGGTTAATAGAGACGTGTGACTGAACGATATTTCATTGCACCAGGTTGGCTTTACTCCATTTTTCATGTTGTCCTGATTTCCTTTTCAAAGTCAGGGATCCAGCAGTGTTCATAGTCTGAAATGATGATACGTGTTATAGAGCTGTATCGCTTATGGTGAATAGCCTTCATATCAAAACTATGATAGCTATGTTCAGTTATCACAGGTGCAGATTTTTCAGGAAGAAATTTTATCAATATTTCTGTTGATAATCCTGTATAAAACACTGAGAAATTAGTAACATAGAAAAAGTACTTTAAAAAAAGTCTTGAGTTTTACTTTTTAAAAATCTGTGTGTATTTAATAATATTCAAGTTCAATGTAAAGACTAAGATTTCCTAAAATGAAATATTGTTTGTTTAGGTATCTCTATGGTTTTGAGGAATACTGCCGTTCTGCAAATATTCAGTTCAGAACTGTTCACCACCATGAACCAAAAGTAAAAGAGGAAAAAAAAGACTTAGAAGAATCAATGGAAGAGGCTCTAAAAGTAGATCAAGAAATGCCTTTACTAGAAGTGAAGAGTGAACCTGAGGAAAATATTGATTCAAACAGTGAAAGTGAAAGAGAAGAAATAGAATTAAAATCTCCAAGAGTAAGTAGTTAATATTAGTTTTATCTGGTTTATTTTAAACATTACTTATAATTTTTTATTATGGACATTTTCAGATATACACAAAAATAGTCTGGTGAACCTAGTTTATTTTCCAGTATTGAGTTGTGCTTTAGTTAGACTAGTCTGGCTGTTTTTTTCTAAATATAGTAAATATTATTTCTTCTAGTTGAAAAACCATTCCTCCTGTTGTTTTCTATTTATGTCTGTTCAAGTCGTTCTCATCTGGGGTCAGTCTCACATATTTACCTTCTTCAAGTCTTTTTTTTCTTTTTTTTGATTTTTGTTTTTTTAAAAGATTTTATTTATTCACTTGAGACAGATACAGAGAAAGAGCATGAACAGGGGGAGAGGCAGAGGGAGAGGGAGAAGCAGGCTCCCTGCTGAGCCAGGAGCCCGATGTGGGGCATGACCTGAGCCAAAGACAGACGCTTAATGATCTGAGCCACCCTAGTGTCCTACTTCCTTCAAGTCTTGCTAAATAGTCCCCTCACTGAAGCTTATCCTGGTCACCTTATCTAAAATTGTAATCTACCTCCTCTCTTTGGTATTTGCAATCCCTCTAATGTTGCTCTTTTTATCTGTAATTTACTTTATATTCTCTTAATTATATTTGTTTCTTTTACCCCAGTCTGCACTAGAATCACACTCCAGAAGGGCAGGGATTAGTCTTTATTCTGTTCATTGACAGATCCCAGGCATCGAGAATAGTGCTTGATCTACAAGTAAGGGCTTATTAAGTAGTTGTTGAGTGAATGAATCTCCTCTTCATAATACTTGTGCCTCCAACTGGGTGGGATCTTTTTTCTCTGTTACCCTACAGCACACTGCACATACCTTTCTTGTGGCAGTTTTTTATGCTCGTCTTATTTTCTAGTCACGTGCACACTGCTTTTATCTTCTAACTCTGCTCCATTAGTATATAAGTTCCTTGTAGAGATTGTTATCCACTATTTTGATCATTGTCGAATGGTGTCTACATGGTAGGATTTATCAAATTTTAGGAGAAAAAAATTTATCACCTATCAAAGGAGTTCAGTTACTGTGAGATCTTATTTTTGAGTGAAATCATATTTAGTGAAAGAAGAGATGAAATTACCTCTTTTAGTTGCTCAGAAACCATTTTTTAAAACTCCCATTTTAACCACCATCCAGTAAGTGGAATCTTCTAGTGAATTTCATGAAACATTCAAATTGGTTTGTTTCATTTCTTTTTTAATTTTTAAAACTGTGATAAGTACACATAATAGGTATCATCTTAACCATTTTTTTTTAAAAGATTTATTTATTTGACAAAGAGACACACAGTGAGACAGGGAACACAAGCAGGGGGAGTGGGAGAGGGAGAAGCAGCCTTCCGGCGGAGCAGGGAGTCCAATTGGGGCTCACTCCCATGACCTTGGGATCATGACCTGAGCCGAAAGCAGACAATGACTGAGCCACCCAGGCGCCCCTCATCTTAACCATTTTTAAATGTACAGTTCACTCACATTTTGTGCACTCATCACCATTGGTCCCTCTCCAGTACCTCTTTCATCTTGCAAAACTGAAACTAGCCATTAAGCAGTAACTTCCCATTCCTCTCCTCCCCAGCTTGTGGCAACCACCATTCTACTTTCTGTCTCTATGATTTTGACTCTAGGGACCTCATCTCATATAGGTGGAATCCTACAGTTTTGTCCTTTCTGACTGGCTTATTTCACTCAGTATAATGTCTTCCAGGTTCAATCCATGTAATGTGTCACAAGTTCCTTCCTTTTTAAGACTGAATAATATCCCCCATTATATGTATTTTGGACATACTTTCTTATTACTAAAGATGTTCCTCATCTTATGGAAAATATCTGCAGAGTACTGCATAGTATGGATGTACCATAGATTTACCTTCCTTAAGATTTTCTCCAATTTTTTACGATTAAAAAAAGTGCCACAATAATTATCCTTGTAAAAATTCCTCCTCATTTGTCTGAATATAGAAGGCAGACTTCTACAAATGGGATTTCTAGGGAGCCTGGCTGTCTCAGTTGGAAGAGAATGCAACTCTTGATCTTGGGGTTGTGAATTCAATCCCCATGTTTTGAGAGTACTTAAGTAAATAAACTTAAAAAAATAAAAATAAAATCAAAGTGGGATTTCTGGGACAAAGGTATATAAGCCTAAAGTGTGATAGATAGCAGTTGTTTTCATTCATTTACCTACAAGTATTTAAAGAACAGCTGCTCTGTGCATAGGATATAGAAGTGAATAAGACAGAGTCTCTGCCCTCATGGGACCTACATTCTAGTTCTTTGTGATAAGAAAAATACACGTTTTTTCCAACTCTGAACCTTAAATAGCACGTAGTTAGGATCGAGGGAAAACATTTGTTAATATATTGAGATATTAATTGTAATGTATTTTAGTGCTCCCTAAGTTGTTGACCCCTTTTCTATCCTCACTTTATTCCAAGTAGAGGGGAACTCTGCCAGTGTGAGAAAGTGGACTTGAGGGAGAATTTAGGAGAGAATGAAATGACTCACCAGTTTCATGGTCAGTTGAGCATGCAGGAGGCTAGATGAAAGCTTTTTTTTTTAAAGATTTTATCTATTTGACAGAGACAGCGAGAGAGGGAACACAAGCAGGGGGAGTGGGAGAGGGAGAAGCAGGCTTCCCGCTAAGTGGGGAGCCCGATGCGGGACTCAATCCCAGAACCCTGGGACCATGACCTGAGCCGAAGGCAGACGCTCAACCGACTGAGCCACCCAGGCACCCCTAGATTAAAGCTTCTTGGGGGAAGAACAAGTTACTGCCGGCCCAGTGAGCTCTCCAGATACTCAAAGAAATCAGCTCACTTTTTGGCCATTGATGCAATTCACTCCTTTCATTTTTTATTTTTTATTTTTTTATTTTTATTTTTTATTTTTTTTAATAAATAGATTAAATATTTTATTTATTTATTTGAGAGAGAGAATGAGATAGAGAGCATGAGAGGGGTTAGGGTCAGAGGGAGAAGCAGACGCCCTGCCGAGCAGGGAGCCCGATGCGGGACTCGATCCCGGGACTCCAGGATCATGACCTGAGCCGAAGGCAGTCGCCCAACCAACTGAGCCACCCAGGTGCCCCATTTTTTATTTTTTAAATTTATTTTTATTTTCTTTAGAGAGAGAGCAAGAGTGCGGGGGTTGGGGGGTAGGCAGAGGGAAAGGGAGAGAGAATCTAAGGCAGGCTCCACACCCAGTGCAGAGTCCGATGCGGAGGCTTAGTCTCACAACCCTGAGATCATGACCTGAGCTAAAATCAAGAGTTGGACACCCAACCGACTGAGCCACCCAGGTGCCCCTGTTCAGTCCTTTTAAAATGTAGTCACGTAGGAAGTGATAATGTAAATTTTATCTTAAAAATGGGAGAATTAGAGATCACAGAGCTTTTAAAGAGTCCATAATTCAGGGGGATTGATTTATTATTTAATTATTATTGACATATGTCATTGATATTTAGTTAATTATTTTAGAACTTTCACTACAGTCACAAAATATTAAAAATGGGATAAAATAATGCCAAGTGAAATAAGTCTACAAAGATAAATACTGTATGATTTCACATATATGTGGAATCTAAAAACAAACGAACAAACAGAAACAGACTCATGAATACAGAGAACAAACTGGTGGTTGCCAGAGGGGAAGGGGTGTGGGGATAGGCAAAATAAGTAAAGGGGATTAAGAGGCACAAACTCACAGTTATAAAATAAATCACAGGGATGAAAAGTACAGCATAGGGAATATAGTCAATAATATTGTGATGACTGGTGACAAATGGTAACTACACTTATGGTGAGCACTGCATAATGTATATAATTGTCAAATCACTGTGCTGTACACCTGAAATTAATATAACGTATGTCAACTACAATTAAAAAAATTTATTGTAGTCAAGAAATATTAAAAGTGACATAAAATAATGTAGTGAACCAAGGAGGAAATTTTTATTTTTTCTATAGCATGTAGCCAAGGATCGTGGTAGGCATGGACATAATTAAGTAATTTACATGGGTTGAAAGGAGAAGTACACAGGGGTTGATGGGTTGTCATTGTCATGTCTTAAGCCAGAGAGATGACTAGTCATTGCTGTGAAGGTGTAAGAAAAAGAAGCATCTTCTGCCTTTTTCCCCCCTTTGTTTGTAGTGATAGCTATTTTAAAGCTTTTACCCCTTCTACTAGGGACGAAGGAGAATAGCTCGAGATGCACATTCTATTAAAAAGGAAATTGAAGAAGAGAAAACTGAGGACAAATTAAAAGACGATACAGAAAATAAGGATGTAGTTGATGATTATGAAACTGCAGAGAAAAAAGAAAATGAGCTACTACTGGGGAGAAAAAACACACCAAAGCAAAAGGAGAAGAAAATTAAAAAGCAGGAGGATTCTGATAAAGACTCAGATGAAGAGGAAGAGAAAAGCCAAGAGAGGTACATTATCTTATATTTGTTCTCCAGAAGCACCTGTCTGGGGTACAGCAGCGCTCTGTTCCTGCTTAGAGATTCAGGTTTGAGGGAATGTTTTCTTATTGGGACTTCCATTCCTCTTGTCTGATGAAGGTGAGACACATTGTGAAGATGATGTGTATCGCCTTTCGGAATTGGAGAATATACTGGTCGCACCATTTTAATAGCACTTGTGCCCTAAACAGTGGCCTCAAAGAAGGCTGCGCCACCCAGTCAAAAGAAAGGTCCTGCAGTTGACAGCAGGGAAGGGAGCTGGAGAAAAATGGAGGAAGTGGACAAGAGGAAACAGCGACAGCAAAAATTCCATTTTAAAAAAGGTACAATGTGGGAAAGCTAACAAACACATGGGTGCACAGTACTAGCAGATGTTTCTGTGTGTTAGCTTGATCTAAGACATTTTTCTTTTTCAAGTTATTGTATTGGAATAAGTGGCATGCACCCCTGATTCTAGTTTGGAAAATACATTCTTGCCCCACATCACACCAATAAATTTCAGTTTTTTTTAATGTTCATCCTGTTTGCTGTTGAGTGTTGGTATTTTTTTTTTCCATGTATTATACATGTATGGACTGAACTGACTTAAAAATAACCAAAGATGAGGCAGTCCAGCTAGATCAAAGTAATGTCCGACTGTGTTTAGTTGGCCATTTCTGTGTTGTCAAATGGATTTACTAATTTTTATATGCTACTAAAAAATGAATTTTAATTCAGCAACAACAGCATAACACATGTTCTTGTAACATAAGCTCTTCTCCATAGTTACTTTTCAATTATTACATTATATGATGATAAATTTTCTAGAAATTTGAGTTGTTAAGGAAAATTGGGGAAGAGTAGCCTGCTGTATCCAACTAGTGGCTGACACCCATCCAAAAATTAACCATTGAGAAAATATTTGGAAAATTAGGAACGATTGGTGAGTGGAAGAGGTAATTTTATGAATCAGTAAAAACAGGTACAAGAGCTATCACAATTACATGTGAATTAGATTAGTGAATAAAGTTCTATAGTGAAGTAGGATTAGTATTAGGAAAGCTGGGAGGAGATAATTGGGGTTGAATATAATGATGTGAGTGTAGTATTTCAAAATTTGGACAATAAATTTAAGCAAAGGTGAACCACTTAAAAAAAGTAGGGCTTAATTATAGTTTGAAGTTTTGTTAAAAATATGTATCAAAATACGTGTTATATGTACATAATACATAAAACACATAACACACATATATATAAAATGTGTGGTTTAAAAAGCCTTTATAGTTGATATGTAAAAGAAACATATTTTAGAGAAAGTTTAACAGACTTGAATATGAAGAACAATATTCCCTTTTATTAAAGATTGAATATATAGAAAAACATAGTCTGTATTCTCATTCTATAACAGGAATCATGGAAACAGGAGATTTTTTTAATCTGTAAAGATTTCTGTTTGAAGTAGTTTCTTAGTATTTTGAAATTACCTTATCAGGATATAATTTGGAAGGTGTCCTTCAAGATAAAACATGCCCAGGGCAGATGGGGTTGAAAGAGCTTCTTCATGTCGGTTCCCCTAGTGGTCCCCAGATTAATGCCCTATGTTTATTAAAGCACAATGCCTCCTCTAAAGTATTTAAAACTCTTGGGACACTAGAATGATCTTTGGTGCAGATCTCTTCTGAATCCTTACCAGGGTTAATACAGAATGTTTTGTTTGTAAAAATATTAAAAATATTGTTGGACCTCCCTATGTCAATCTTTTATACCTGATTATTTGAAACAAAGAAAAGTTGATGGGAGAGGAGTACACAAAGCTTTGTTCTTCTGGTGCTATCTCACAGTTTCAACAAGTAACCTAATACTCAAATATCTATTGTTTCTTTGTTAGGGTAGAGTAACCTTTAAAATATAAACTAGTTTAAAAGACAGTTACTAAGGTAGATAGCCCTTGTTCATTATTGTGCCCACTAAAACAGTTTTGAAGAACCATTCCAAAATTGAGTAGTAGTAGCTTTAAGACAATTTAGTTGCAGGAAGTTACAAGCTAGATAATTTTCACATAATAAGGTGGCACTGGAGTATGAATCCTAAAGACTTTTTCAAAGCATATGGACCCTTGTTTTATCAAAAGTGATTAATCAGACTCTACATCATCATTAACTGTGATTATACATCATCATTAACTGTGATTATTGATTGGCCTTTAAGAAATAATAGATTTACTTGTGGTACAGTGCACCATTACACAATAAATAAATTCCTTAGTAGGTAGTCCATAAAAATCTTCTCCTTCTCCTCCTTCTTCTCCTCCTCCACTGACACGTTATTAAGGTAATACTTAGGTTTTGACTATTCTACATGTTGGGTTCTTTTAGCATATATTAGTTTGTTCTCCATTAAATTAGTAGCATTATCAATGTTATAACTTGCCGCAGGGAAGAAACTGAAAGCAAATGTGACTCTGAAGGGGAGGAAGATGAGGAAGACATGGAACCCTGCCTAACAGGAACCAAAGTGAAAGTAAAATATGGTCGAGGGAAAACGCAGAAAATCTATGAAGCTAGTATTAAGAGCACTGAAATTGATGATGGAGAAGTTTTATACTTGGTACATTACTATGGATGGAACGTCAGGTAAGCAAGAAATCTATTTTCTTACTATTGCAATTTCTTTAACATGGTTCAGAAAGATCAGTTTAATGTTGTGGACTAAAGCAAATGGGATATAGGTATTTATAAAGCATGCCTTTTATCTGAATCCTCCAAAACTTTCAACGTCCCCACTGTTTCACTAGCTATGTCAGTACTCCCACCCCACCAAGATCCTATCTGTAGTTGAATAGGTTGGATTACTCATTTGCAGTGTGGGAGAACACAGAATATGGGATAACATGGGGCGTCTCAGAGGGTGTTAGATGGATTAATGAAAGTCCAGGGCACCGCCTCTGGGAACAGCAATAGCCCAGGATTTTGTGGGAACATCCTGTAGGACATGGGCAGGGAGGCAGGCCTGCAGCTCTCAGCGGTGGAAGTGGTTTGTTTATTACATTTATTCAAAATCAAGCTTTTATCAGGCATTGTAATAATTCTAAATTGGTTAATTTAAAAAGATTAGAAAAGACTCAGATTTGAGCTTGTTAGGTGATTTGGGGGAGGGTTTAAGGAAGTGGGTTTTTGCTCTGGATTGGACATGGTCATGAAGTGGTGATAATTCTATGATTGGTTATCTTAATAAATCTTACCTAGGAGAGACTAGACCAAGGTTACTGTTGTAATTGGTAAAGCAGCAGCAAGTCATTCAAGATAAAAAGGATGTAGGTCATTTTTGTGGCTTGGACAAATGTTTCTTTTTTTCCTGTATTTAATTTTTTTTAAGATTTTATTTGAGAGAGAAAGAGAGCAGAAGCAGGGGGAGGGGCAGAGGCCGAGGGAGAAGCACGCTTCCCACTGAGCAGGGAGCCCGATGCAGGGCTCAGTCCCAGGACCTTGGGATCATGACCTGAGCTAAAGGCAGATGCTTAACTGAACCACCCAGGCGCACCTTTTTTCCTGTATTTAGGCACTATTACGAAGTGGTCTTGTTTTTATCTTGATCCATCCTGGTCACGGAGCAGACTTGTCTGATGTTCTGTGAAATTGTTGATGTCCAACAGGACAACAACAGAACCCAGCTATGAGTGCTGGATCAGCTCTGTCACTGATAGTACTAGGCAAGTTCCTGAATGTCAGGGACTACTTTTCTCTTTCTTTTGGAAAGTCTTGTGTGTTTAATATCTCTGCTTGCCCTGTATTTGCTTGGAGCCAGTGTCCTTCAAGGTTTCCCTATGTACTGGAAGTATGCTTTGTTATGTGTCAATTCCCTCACCTCTAGATTGGGGAAGATAAAGTACCTACATTAGAGAGATGTTGTGAGAAACAGTGCTTAATACCTGTATTAACATACAAAGTGGGCGCCTGGGTGGCTCAGTTGGTTAAGCGACTGCCTTCGGCTCAGGTCATGATCCTGGAGTCCCGCATCGGGCTTCCTGCTCAGCGGGGAGTCTGCTTCTCCCTCTGACCCTCTTCCCTCTCGTGCTCTCTCTCTCTCATTCTCTCTCTCTCAAATAAACAAATAAAATCTTTAAAAAAAAAACATACAAAGTGTTTAGAACAGTGCTTGGCATGTAGTGTGTGCTCAATAAATGTTGACTGTTTTTCTTTTAAGGTTCTATTTATTTGACTGAGAAAAAGCGAGATAGCACAAGCAGGAGGAGCAGCAGAGGGAGAGGGAGAAGCAGACTCCCGCTGAGCAGGGAGCCCAATGTGGGGATCGATCTCAGGACCTTGAGATCATGACCTGATGCTCAACTGACTGAGCCACCCAGGCGCCCCTGATGACTGTTTTCTTTAGTGACAGAGAGTTAGGTTTCTTTCATTTTGCATCATTTTAAGAGTAAGGGTTTAATGAATATCATATAAAACTTTAAAACTTCTCAAACCAGTCCCTATGCCCTTCACAGTTCTGACAACACTAGAAACAAACGTTTTTAAATTTTTTTAAAGAGTTTATTTACTTATTTTAGAGAGAGATCGAGAGCACAAGCAAGGGGAGGACAGAGGGAGAGAGAATCTCAAGCAGACTCCTGCTAGACCTGCAGCCTGGTGGGGGGCGGAGAGCGGGCCTTGATCTCACAACCCTGAGATCATGACCTGAGCCGAAATCAGGAGTCGGACACTCAGCCGACTGAGCCACCCAGGTGCCCTGAAACTTCTGTAATATAAAAAATGTTTTCTGAATGTTTATAGTTGACATACAACGACATACTAGTTTCAGGCACATAACATGATTCGGCAATTCTCTGCAAATTCTTTAGTCCATCTCTGAGGTCTGTTGTTTTGTATGCACGTTTTGTTGAATTGGGTCAGGATGGGGGCTATTTTGTCAGCCCTGAGTCACTGCCTTTGCAGTTATAGCACATGATAACCGTCATTTTTCCTCTGCTTCTGTTCAGTTCCTTGCCGTCCATTTTTACTTACCTCTGTGTGAGGCTGTTCTGTTCTGCATTCTAGAATGTCCCCTTCCTATCACCCTTTGTGCACATCTTTTTAGTATTTTACTGTATGATTTTTCTCAACAGTCATTTTATTATATGCTCACGTTCTTCCTAGTTGGTTATCTTCCCAACTAGTTACTCACATGGTTTGTGGTTTTTTATTGTCCTTCCATACTCTTAAAAGCTAGTATAATTCTGGTCTGCTCATTGAAACAGAATCACTAGTTCCTAGCGAATCCAGTTGGATTTCTACAACAGGGTAGCATGTGCAACTGTGAGGGGAGTTCTGGTCTGTAGTTGAGAAATTCTGGGATCACCCCCAGTTGGCAGTATTAATGCTGGAGCCACCTACATGACATACTGTGGTGACCAGGCCAGTATGGCCTGGACCAAGTGTACTCTAGATTAGACCTGTGCTTCTTGGTTGTCTGATATGTCCTGTGGAATTTTGGAATTGGGCAGTTACTCCTTTGTTAGCCCTGGACCAGATACATAAATAACCCTAAATAACCCTCTTACTGCATTTACCAGACTCTACTTATTTTACTGTCTTTCACACCACACTGCAAGTTGCAGAGAGGAAGGACCTTCCTCTTCTTCTCTGTTATTCTCTACGGATTTCCTCATACAGTGCCTGGCATGCTAGTAAGCCCTCAGTAAATGTCCAAATGAGTGAATATTTCTAAGTGAGGTACGAATGTACAGATACTTAAAAGCCTGGCAAAATGAAAATATTGGGTTAGTCCAGGAAGAGAGAGTTTTCAAACCGTAGTATAGATAGTCATGGTCCTGTGTCAACCAAAATGTGGATATTGGAACTGTCTTTACTTTGCACGGCACCATGGTAACTGGGTTACAAAGTGTGAGGGTGCTTTTCATTAACATGGTGCAGTTCAAAACAAAACCCACCTGTACTGTTTTTTGCTTAAATGGTCAGATTTTAGATTTTGATTGAGCTCTATAAATACCTATACGTTTACATAATGTAAGAACTGGTATTTAGTTCTAGAAAGTTTAATTTTTTTTCATTTTTTTATTATTATGTTAATCACCATACATTACATCATTAGTTTTTGATGTAGTGTTCCAAGATTCATTGTTTGTGCATAACACCCAGTGCTCCACGCAGAATGTGCCCTCCTTAATACCCATCACCAGGCTAACCCATCCCCCCACCCCCCTCCCCTCTAGAACCCTCAGTTTGTTTCTCAGAGTCCATCGTCTCTCATGGTTCGTCTCCCCCTCCAACTTACTCCCCTTCATTCTTCCCCTCCTGCTATCTTCTTCTTCTTCTTTTTTTTTTTTTTTAACATATATTGCATTATTTGTTTCAGAAGCACAGATCTATGATTCAACAGTCTTGCACAATTCACAGCGCTCACCATAGCACATACCCTCCCCACTGTCTATCACCCAACTACCCCATCCCTCCCACCCCCCACCACTCCAGCACCCTCAGTTTGTTTCCTGAGATTAAGAATTCCTCATATCAGTGAGGTCATATGATACATGTCTTTCTCTGATTGACTTATTTCACTCAGCATAACACCCTCCAGTTCCATCCATGTCGTTGCAAATGGCAAGATCTCATTCCTTTTGATGGCTGCATAATATTCCATTGTGTATATATACCAACTCTTCTTTATCCATTCATCTGTCGGTGGACATCTTGGCTCTCCACAGTTTGGCTATTGTGGACATTGCTTAGAAAGTTTAATTTCTTATTTGCCCCTGATTAGTAACTTGGACTATGTTGAAATTTAAAAATGGTGTTAATATTTTGGAAGAAGGTATAGGGGAAATGAATTTTCAATTTGAGCTAAACAGAATAAAGGATAAAGGAAATGAAATATCTCTAAAAAAGTTTCAAAGTTTTAGAGATGACATAGTTCAGAATAAAATTTTATTAGAAATACTGCAGGCTATAGGGTTCTGGGAGGAAAAGAGAGTTGACAAGGACTTTATAAATAAATCTGGAACTTGATCCTATTACAAATAATGAATTCACCTGGCTTCTCTTTGTTGTATTAATCGGTCAATAGAGCAAATGGCAGTGTAGCATAAGCTTATTTCAGTACGCTCAGATCTATGGGAAACAAAAGTGCAGTTGTGGAAAACAAAAGCGCTTCAGTCGTGAATCTGCATAGAGTTTGCCCACCTAGCTCTTCCTCTATCTAATCTCGTTTATCCTAAGAAATTCTCTTGCCTTCTCCTGCTGGTGGCGTCTACAAAGTCTAAAAGCACCTCACCAGCAAGCCGGCCCCTGTGCTCTTCACGTTTCTGCCAACACTAGAACCAAACTCTAGTTTTCTCACTGTTGTTTTATTTGGTGCGTACATTCAAATAAGGTATTGTGAAGTTTTCATTTTTTTCTTTGTTTTAAGGTATGATGAATGGGTGAAGGCTGACAGGATAATCTGGCCTTTGGACAAAGGTGGACCAAAGAAAAAACAGAAGAAAAAAGCAAAAGTATGTATATAGAGTCATATCCTTTATGATAAGTATAGCTATTATTTATATTGTACTGTTTTTTATAAATCTTGTTTTCTCATTGTAATAATCACCTTGATTCTTTTAAGGTAGTTGTGATTTTCTCTCTTATAACCCAGAAGCTAAAAACATAAAAAATGTTTATCACACTGTTTCAGGAAAGATAAAAACCAGGGACCCCTTAGGATATAGGCTTCAAACTCAAATGTCTATAGCGGCTATACAGAAAAAGGGTAAAGCAGGATTGACAGTGACAAAAAAAGAGGACACATTCCTCATCAAGAGAGGGTGGAACTCACTAGTCTCCTGTGGGATGCAGACTCAGGGTTGCCAGATTTTAGGATTTTTTTTAAGTCAACTGTCTTTAAAGCTAATACTAGATTTTAATACACATACCCGCTGGCTAGTTGTACTCACATCCACACCCTTGATTTTCAGCCTTTGCTATAGAGATTCACCTAGTGTTTTGCCTGTTTAATGGTGCTCAGGGAGTAATCAGGAACGAGGGGGAGAGTGTAGAGTAGTTGTACGTCTCTCTAATGCATGGACTCTGGCTTTCACAGTGTAATTGCAGTGTGGCAAACTGTACACTATCATATTCATAGAAATACACTGTGTTAGAAAACTACTTGCTTTTAATGTTTCTATAAGAACAAATTAAGAGTTGACATATAAAATATATAACCTTTTTGAGTTATGGTTCTCCTTGGAGAAGTAGAATGTTTACTTTTTCTAAGGCACTGGCCCTTCTCATACATTTTGTTGCTGTTACCCAGAATAAAGAAGACAGTGAAAAGGATGAAAAGAAGGATGAGGAGAGGCAGAAGTCAAAACGAGGACGACCTCCTTTAAAATCTACACTTTCATCAAACATGCCGTATGGTTTGTCTAAGACTCCAAACAGTGAAGGAAAATCAGGTACCAGAAGTGCTCGAAGCAATATGCCAGACAGCTCACCTCTGTCAAACGGAATGGAAGGTGCTCAATTTTGAGGATCATTGATTTTTTAAAAATCAATAATATAAATAATAAAACTTCACTTGTGGAGAGACTCATCGAAAGTCATCTAAAGTTTTTAATCTCCTATAAACTACAAAATTTGACTTGAAGAAAATATTTCAGTATATCATGTTTACTTAAAATTTAGTGATTTCTTATCAGTACTGTAGGAATATTCTATTTTAAAAGGAGATGGGTTGACAAGTCATGCATCCTACTGTGTGCTACACTGTCCTTCAAAACATGCACCAGTGTTTCTTGTAATTCAGTGCTGTTCACATAGGATATTTCAACAAAGCTGAGACCAAAATGTTCAAAAAGCGCAAAGTAATGTGGTATAGGCATTTTGTGATGAGTATTAGGTGAACATACTCTATTTTGCTTTTAACTTTTTCCCCATTTTTCTACCTTCATGTGCTTTCCCATGTAATTTAAAATGTTAAATAGTGGTCTTATATAAAATTTTCCCTCCTTTCAAGAAAAAAGCTATTCTGAACTACAAGATTGCCATTTGTCCATATGGTGTTTGTGTGTAATTAGAAAAGGGCATGCTCCTACCTCATTACTGCCATCTGCTGGAAAGTTGTCATAATACACAAATGCAAGATGTCCACAAAGTGAAAGGTGTCCTTAGGTAGCATGCTCTTTTGCAGTGTACAACCTATGAAACTATACATAGTAGTCTCAGTCTTGCTCAACTCCCAGATAAAAGTTCTTTTTTTTTAACATAAGGATTCTAAATCTTGAATATGATAAAACCACAAAACCATATACCTTTTCACTTAAAATACATTTAAGTTTGCCTTTTGAACTTATTTACAATATGTGGGCAGAATTTTTTTTTTTTTTAAGATTTTATTTATTTATTTGACAGAGAGACACGGTGAGAGGGAACACAAGCAGGGGGAGTGCGAGAGGGAGAAGCAGGCTTCCTGCTGAGCAGGGAGCCTGATGTGGGACTGGATCCCAGGACCTGGGATCATGACCTGAGCCGAAGGCAGACACTTAACGACTGAGCCACCCAGGTGCCCCCAGAATTTTTATATTTTATAGATCCTGTACAGTCCTATGGCCCAACTTTATTATTTTAAAAATTCTTTGACTTAATGAGAATGATTTCTTTTGTAAGAAGGTAGCTTGACTAGGGGCGCCTAGGGGGCTCAGTTGGTTAAGGGTATGCCTTCGGCTCAGGTCATGATCCCAGGGTCCTGGGATCCAGCCCTGTGTTGTGCTTTCTGATCAGCAGGGAGCCTGCTTCTCCCTCTGCCTGCTCTTCCCCCCTGCTTGTCTCTCTCTCTTTCTAATAAATAAATAAAATCTTTAAAAAAAAAAAGTAGCTTGCCTGTACTTTTATGTCTTTTAATCAGAAGAACACTTAAAGTTTTGGGAATTCAAATTGCTCATTTTGTACATCTCTTTCCAGAATTATTTTAAATAATTCTAGGGACACAAAATGCCATCACATTTATTAATCAGTACCTATTAGATCTCAGATCAAACAACCTAATGCATTAATATAATCTCAGTACTAGTCCTTTAAGTTTTCCTTTTTCTTTTAAGATTTATTTATTTTAGAGAATGCGTGCAGGGGTGAGGGGCAGAGGGAGAGAGAATCCCAAGCGGACTCCCTGCTGAGTGTGGAGCCTGACGTGGGGCTCACTCTCACAACCCCAAGATCATTATCTGAGCCAAAACCAAGAGTGGAATGCTCAACTGACTAAGCCACTCAGGCGCCCTTATTCCTTTGATTTTTCTAAGGATTAACATAGCCTAAACATGATACTAGTGAAAAATGCAAAATAGTTCTTTTATAGAATTGAGACAGTAATATTTTCAATGTATTGTAGTTTTACATGGAGTTTAATTTGAAATACCCCCATTTTTGGCACAAAGGTATGATTTATCAGAAATTTCTACAGGGAGGCATTCAGAGATAAATGATTAAGAGTTTTGTTTGGTAGAATTTTTATTCTAAAGTTACATTGGTAATTAACACAGAAACCTTTGTAATATATTCCATTTTGCAGACTCTTGCTCATCTGATAGTGAAACAGAAGACCTTTTAGAAAAGAATTTGATGAATGAAGAACTTTCTCCTGATATTAAAGAACTAGAAAAAAATGAAAATTTAAATGATGATAAACTAGATGAAGAAAACCCAAAGATTGCTGCACATATATTAAAAGAAAACGAAAGGACGCAAATGCAGCCTTTAGAAACATTGAAGTTAGAAGTTGGAGAGAACGAACAAATAGTACAGATTTTTGGAAATAAAGTGGAACACATAGAAGAAGTTAAGAAAGAGGCCGAAAAATCTCCTAAGGGAAAGGGAAGACGAAGCAAGACAAAAGATCTTTCTTTAGAAATTATAAAGATTTCATCATTTAGCCAGGATGAAGCAGGAAGTGAACCTCATATAGAAGCTCAGAGTCTAGAATTTTCTTCATTAGACAGTAAAACCTTTTCTTCTACTACCGAAGATGAAACTGACCAATGTGCAAAAGAAAAAAAGTTGAAACGGAAAATACTGGGACAGTCATCACCAGAGAAAAAAATAAGAATTGAGAATGGAATGGAAATGACAAACAGCATATCTCAAGAAAAGACCAGTGACTGTGCTGCATCTGAGGGAATGAAAAACTTAAATTCTGAACAACATTTTGAAATAGAAAATGAAGGAATGCCGTCATTAATTGCAGAGTCAAACCAACGCATTCAAGAATTGACTAGTGAAAAATCTGACAGTCCAGCGGAAGAAACTGTAAATACTGCCCTGAAAGAAGAAGAGGATGCAATGCCTCTGATTGGGCCTGAGACTTTGGTTTGCCATGAAGTCGATTTGGATGATTTGGATGAGAAGGATAAGACCAGTATTGAAGATGTAGTAGTTGAAAGTTCTGAGTCTAACTCTCTTGTTTCTATTCCACCTGCCCTACCTCCTGTAGTACAACATAACTTTTCAGTAGCTTCACCACTTACTCTCAGTCAAGATGAGTCTCGAAGTATAAAAAGTGAGAGTGACATAACCATTGAAGTTGATAGCATTGCTGAAGAATCTCAAGAAGGTCTCTGTGAGAGGGAATCAGCAAATGGGTTTGAAGCCAGTGTTGCCTCTGGTACCTGTAGTATAATTGTTCAAGAAAGAGAAAACAGAGAGAAGGGTAAGGACTTTCTAGGGAGAATATCAGCCTTTCTGATTATCTCAACCCCAAAATTACTAAGTTCAGAGTTTTAGGATCGCTTGAGCAGTCAAGTTCCCTCCCTCCTATTCATTCTTCCTTCCTACTTCCCCCTCTCCTTTCTCCTGCCTTTAAAAAAAAAAGTATATCTAGAAATTTATGTGGAGTAGACAAGTGAGTAATTACAGCTGCTCTGGTCGTGGCATTGGCTCGAGAGCAGGGTACGAACTGCGGTGGCCGGAGATGTGGCAAGACAGGCGTTTAGAAAGTTTCTTCCCCTCTCTGAGTTTTAGCTGAAAGGAGTGCAGCTGAAACTGTAACCAAAGGAGGCATTATGCTTCCAGAGAAATCTCACGGAGAAGTATTGCAAGCAACAGAAGTAGCTGTTGGATTGGGCTCCAAAGGATAAGGGTGGAGAGATTCAACCAGTTAGCGTGAAAGTTGGGAGATAAAGTTCTTCTCCCAGAATATGGAGACAGCAAAGTTGTTCTAGACGACAAGGATTATTTTTTATTTAGAGATGGTGACATTCTCGGAAAGCATGTAGACTGAATAAATCATTGAAATGGCATCATGTGAAGCTGCCCATTCCACTGAAATTGTGAAATCTTTCATCCTGTAAATAATTTCCATGTCTCTCTTTTATAATAAACGAATGGTATCCAAAATAGGTATATATTTTTTTCAATTGTCTCTCCTTATTTCAGGTCAGAAAAGGCCAAGTGATGGAAACAGTGGATTACTGGCAAAAAAACAAAAGCGTACCCCAAAGCGAACAAGTGCTGTAGCCAAAAGTGAAAAGAATGGAACAGGTTGGTGCTTTCCAATGCTGCCTTTAGCATAGTGTTAATATTTTCAGGATTGTGTTGGTTTGATCATTTGTGTCAGTTTAAAAATAAATTTGCTTTAGGGGTGCCTGGCTGACTCATTTGGTAGAGCACGCGACTCTTGATCTCAGAGTTGTGAGTTCAAGCCCCACGTTGGGGGTAGAATTTACTTAATAAAAAAAAAAAAATCTAATGTTTGGTTTATTATGTTATGGAAATAGCAATTTTCTCACTTATTTTTAATCTGAAGGGGCCTGTCAATTTTATTTAGAGCTGGGATAGCTGTGATTTATTTTTTATGCATATTTCATTTGTATTTCTTATGTAAAGTGGTTTAATATTGAGGAATGTATTTGAGGATCTTGAATAATAGGAAAGTAATATTTGCTTTAGTGGTAAAAGCAGATTAAGTTTACATTTCTGAATGGAATGGTTTATTTTAATCTAGAAAAACATTTCTAAATAGTATCATGGTATTTTTAAAGCAAGAAGATAAGATTCTTATGGTAACGAACAAGGAAATTAGTAAGTCAGTATGAATAGAATACATGAGAAAGACTTCTGTACAATATGGAATAAAACTAAGTTGTAGAATATTGTAGAAATAAACATGGTTGATTTTGACAAATTAAAGTTTTATCTCCAAAACATGCCTTCATACAAGTCTGAAAGGAAAATTCTAGGTTATAGTATAACATATCCCATGGAGGGAGCATATGATTTATACAAGATAAAGGCATTTCAAAGGAAAACTTTTAAACCATATTTGAAGTTCTCAGAGCCACATGTGGCTTGTGGCTGGACAATACAGATGAATAGAGGAGGAGTGATGGGAAATGAGAATAGAGAGGCAGCGGGAATTTACAAAGGGCAACTGAATAACATCATAGTGCCTGGCAGATATGTTTGTCAAACGATCAAAGTGATGACTGGTAATGGGACAGATGGGAATCATGTACTACCTGGCAGGATGCAACAGGAACACAGCAGCACATCTGTGACATTCCTGTCAAAGATGCATAACTTGAATATAATCATGAGGAACCATCAACAAATTCCAACTGAAGGATCTTCTATAAAATAACTGGTCTGTGATTTAAGAAATTGCAAAGGTCATGAAAGTCAAAGAAAGAGGAACTGTTGCAGATTTAAAGGAGACTTAGGAGACATGACAAAAGCAGCATATGATTCTCACCTGGATCCTGTTGCTACAAAAGACATTATTGGGTCAAATAGAGAAACTTGTATGGGATCTGAGGATTAGGTGATAATATGTTTGTGTTCATTTCCTGATTTTGATTGTTGTATTATGGTTCTCTAAGTGTGTGGTGGTTTTAAAAACATATCTACAAATCTGTTGATACTCTCCCCTGCAAGAGACAAAGCCTAATTCCCTTCCCTTGAGTGTGGGCTGAATGAAGTGATAGAGTATGACTTCAGAGAATAGGTCATAAAAGGCACTGCAGATTCCTCCTTGCTCTCCCTTGGATCACGTGGTCTGGGGAAAGTTAGTTGCCAAGTCCTGAGGACACAGCAGTCTATGGGGAGGTCCACATGGTAAACTGAGCACATCCTGCCAATAGCAAGCAAGGAACTGAGGCCTCTTGCCAAAAGCTACATGAGTGAACCATCTTGGAAATATATTCTTCAGCTCCAGTCAAGTCTTCAGAGACCACAGCTTCAGCTAAAAGCTTGACTGCAACATCACAAGATTACCAAGCTGGACCACACAGCCAAGCTGCTCCCAGACCCCAGTTCTCAGACACTGTGAGATATTAACCATTTGTAGTTTTAAACTGCTAAGTTTGGGGCCAGTTTGCAGATAACTAACACAAGGAGAATGTTCTTGTTTATAAGAAACAAACACTGAAGTACTCAAGTATGGCTGGGCAACTTAACCTTCAAATGGGTCAGAAAAACATTTTTTGGTAACTGTTCTTAAAATTTTTTTGTAAGTTTGAAGATTGTCTAAAAAGTTAAAAAGATTAAAAAGAAAGGAAGAAAGGAGATCATCAGTTTTACCTTTGGGATTTAATATTTGGCGAGAAAAATGAATTAAAGTGATGGGACGTGAAATCATTAGGACTCACTAGTAGTAGTTACATATGAGGGACTGGTTAATGATGGAATACAGAAGTAGCAGCAGGTGGTTGGAAGAGTAATTTCGGGAAGGTTGAGTTAGAGGTATCCAGTATTAGGGGAGTAGGGGTCTGGAGCTTAGAAGAGTCTGTTTTTAGAAGATGGTTATGTGAAGGATTGCAAGATGATAAGATTACTATGGGAAAGTTGTAAAATGAAAATAAAAACCAAGAATAGAATTCAGTGGGCTATCTCTTTAGAGGTGGCACTGATCAGAGACACTGGGCACTGATCAGAGACAAATGCAAATCACTAAACACTAGTGGGTTTGAATAAGAAAGAAGTTTTGAATGCTATAGGATATGCAATAGGATTAAAATGCATTCATTGAATTTGGTGAATTGTAAATGTTGGGACCCTAACAGGAGCATGAGAATGTGATTAGAAGGTGTGGAAATCAGGATAACAAAGAATTTCTTTCAAGAAATTTGACTTTAGGGGCGCCTGGGTGGCTCAGTTGTTAAGTGTCTGCCTTCGTCTGCCTTCGGCTCAGGTCATGATCCCAGGGTCCTGGGTTCGAGTCGGGCTCCCTGCTCAGCAGGAAGCCTGCTTCTCCCACTCCCCCTGCTTGTGTTCCCTCTCTCGCTGTCTCTCTCTGTCAAATAAATAAATAAAATCTTAAAAAAAAATCTGATTTTAAAGAGAAGGAAAGAGGAGCCAGCTAAAAAGGGAAGTTTTCCCTCTTTTCCCTCCCTCTCTCAGGGTGGGAAAGATGTAACCATGTTGGTAGACTAGGAAAAGAAGTTGAAGATAAAAGAAGATGGATAATTGATGTTGGGATATTCCAGAGGAGCTGTGAGTGGATGGTTTTAAGCGTATAGCTGAAGAGTTTAGTCTTCAAAAACATTCTCTTTCTGAGCACCCCCAAAAGTTAATAAAGACAGATACAGGTAGAGGAAGGGCTGGGAAATTGAGTGTGTAACATTCCAACTTTGCCTTTTCAGTAGAAGGCAAGGTTGGCTTTTGAGAGTAGGGTGGAAGGGTGGAAGAGATTGGAAAAAAATAAAACTGAGAGAATTCTAATTTGTTATGAAGTGAAAAGCAAAAACATGTTTAATATTACAAATTTGGTGAGGAGGGACAAAGTTGCAAACAATTTTCTGCTCACATTTTATTATACACATGTTAAAGGATGTGTATACATCAAGTATTTCTGTGCTTTTTCATTTATGCAGTTTGGGTGGTTTTATGTCTTGTTTTAAACATAAATGGGGCAATACTATACATCTTGTTTTATAACTTTGCTTTTTTATTTAACAGTGTATATTGGATATTTTGCCATTTTTGTTCTTGTAAACTTTAGCTCATTCTTTTTAACAATTTTAGCAAATTATTCAGTAGTGTATTTGACCCTTGAACAACATGGGTTTAAATTGTACAGATCCATTTATACACACATTTTTTAGACTGCTGTAAATGTATTTTCTCTTAAGATCTTCTAACATTTTCTTTTCTGTAGCTTACTTTATTATAAGAATACGCTATACACTGTTGTATATAACATACACAATATGTGTTAATCAACTTTATGTATCAGTAAGGCTTCAGGTCAACAGTAGGCTATTAGTAATTAAGCTTTTGGGGAGTCAAAAGTAAATGCAGATTTTTGACTGCATAGGGGTCAGTGCCCCTAACCCCAACATTGTTCAAGAATCAACTGTATGTAATTTTTAACCTTTTTCCTATCGGTGGGCATTTAGATTTCCCTTTCTTTACTGTTAAGAAATTTGTGCGTTTGTATACTTATTTCTGTAGGATACCAAAAAGTGTAATTGCTGGGTCTGCTGCATTTTGATATTTGATATTTTTGTCATTTATAATCTCTGAATCAATTTTTTATTATAGGACAAAGCAGTGATAGTGAAGATCTTCCTGTCCTGGACAATTCAAGTAAATGTACACCAGTAAAGCATCTTAGTGTGTCTAAGCCACAGAAGCTTGCACGATCTCCTGCAAGAATTTCTCCTCACATCAAAGATGGAGAAAAAGATAAACACAGGGAAAAACATCCGAATTCATCCCCTAGAACATATAAATGGAGCTTTCAACTCAGTAAGAAGCTTTAGAAAACCTGAATGTATTTTGTAAAATTAGTATTTATCTTAAAATGTCAAAATAAGAAATAGTGGTTACCATATTCATTTATGTAGGTTTCCAAATAGTGTCTTGTTAACAATCACTACTTATCATCTTAAATACAAATCCATGCCTTTTCATAATAATAACCTGATAAATATTAACTAGAGAAAGATCTCCAGTAACAAAATAAGATGTGTGTTTGTATGTTATCAGTGAAACTGAAATACCCTTTCTAGTATTGATAACTGGAAATATCCAATGAATGAAAAATCATCAATACAAAGAAACTATTTGGATGAATAACTACAATTATAGATTAGGGTTGCTGTGTGTTGATGTTTTCTTGTGTTTATCTGATCATTTAAGTAATACATACTTGGTATAAAAATTTTGGGATATATACAGAAATCTTGTTCATGAATTTAATGTCATCCTTGTATGTAGATCCTTATTTAGCTATTATTATGGAAACTTTTAATAAACTAAAGCTTTTGATTTAGAAGTTCAGTTTTGATAAAACTGCCATCTTCTTTTCTCAGATAATTATTTTAAAAACGAAATTAACCTTTTTTCCCCCTTTTAGATGAATTAGAGAATATGAACAGTACAGAGCGAATCTCTTTTCTCCAAGAAAAATTACAAGAAATCAGAAAATATTACATGTCTTTGAAGTCTGAAGTTGCAACCATAGACAGGAGGAGGAAAAGATTAAAAAAGAAAGACAGAGAAGGTAATTTGATTATAATTTTTCTTCCCTTGTTTTTCAAATATATCCTGTCATTTTAGAAGATTTACATTAGTTACTCTTTGAATATAGTACATATTTATTAATTGTTGTTTTTAGATTCCTAGTTTTATCTTCTTTGTGATATTATTGAAATGAGTGGGTCAATAACTGAATTAATCAGGAGGAGACTCTTAAAAAGGACTATGAAACAAAATGTGATTTTATTAAATGTGGTGGGTTCTCAAGAAGAATTAGTTACTCCCTCTGAAATTCACTTTGCTCAACAAATATTTACTGGTTACCTATTAATAGGCACTGTATTTGTTATTATGAGGTTCACCAAAATTAGTGGGCATATGGCTTATCCTCAAAGAGATTATCTTTTTGCGATCATAAATGATTCGTTGAAATCGTTCAGCTCAACGTTAATATGTTCACACTATGTGCCAGGCCCTCTTCCAGGTGGTAGAAGTACAGAGATGAATGAGATACAGACTTTGATCTCAAAGATCTTAACTTCTAGCAGGAAGGGTGTGTTCGATGAGGACCCCAAGAGTGGTACTACTAAGTACAGGAGTTGGTGGAAGGAGAGATTACTTTGGATTAATCATGGAGAGACAGTAGTGTCTGACTCAGACCTTAAAACTGTGTAGGAATGACTTATAGTTAAACATTGATAGGTTCACATCTACCCCGTCCTGAAGTCCCACTAAAATAACAGTAAAGAAAATGAAAAGCCCTGTACCCACAAGAACAAGATAATGGGATAGCAGACCACAGTAGACAAGAAATGTCAACAGCTTCTCTCTTGGAAGCTGAGAAGCAGATAGACTGCTTTAGCAGAATGCTAAAACGTAAGCTTGTTTATCCTTGCAGTGGGGCAAAACAAGAAGCGAGCCAGCCCATACCACATTACCCCAGCTCTGAAAGCAGGGATATAGGTGAGGCTAAAAATGGAGATTGGTTGAAAATGGAAGAAATTGGATTCTTTCGTCCCATCCTGTGATACAAACTACCTTCTTTCTGCAGCTCTAGCAGAAAATAGAGAATTAACTTATTATATGGAGAGGGGAAAGAAGTCCCTGTAGACTCAGGGACACCAGCCACAGCTGAAGGTGAGGGTCAAGTGCAAAACCAGAAATAATGAGCCTGAGCAAAAGTTTACAATACTGAATGATGAGACCCCTATCCCTTTTCCAACTGAAATTCTTATCCTCTTGGCTTCCTGAAAGCTGGCAACTAAGCTTATGCTCACTCATGGGAGGAGACTGAAGGATTCTTCTGGAGAAGCTGGTCAACCCAAAAGGAAGGAACTAACACAGATACCAACATTTAGAGGTTCCTGAACCAAAAAGCAAGATCCTTGCCAGTCACTGCATATGCACTGCCCATGATTGAAAAGCTCTGCACACTCGCACACAGCTTCCAGTTAGCTTTTTAATGCCCCCCTCCTTTTTTAAAGATTTTATTTATTTGACAGAGGCACAGCAAGAGAGGTAATACAAGCAGGGGGAGTGGGAGAGGGAGAAGCAGGCTTCCCGCCGAGCAGGGATCCCGATGTGGGGCTCGATCCCAGGACCCTGGGATCATGACCTGAGCTGAAGGCAGATGCTTAACGACTGAGCCACCCAGGCGCTCCTAATGCCCCCCTCTTAAATATGGGAGCCACAAGACCAGATAGGAAAGCTTCTACATAAAGGTAGAAACCAAAGTAGAAAATGAGAATAAAAAGGAACTTGTAAAAAACAATGTACCATACAAAACACCAAACTATAATCACTATACAGAGATACAGGAAAGATATTGTAGTCTTGAAACAAAAATATGTTGTTTTTTTTTTTAAGATTTTATTTATTTACTTGACAGAGAGAGAAAGAGAGCACAAGCAGGCGGAACAGGAGGCAGGGGAGAGGGAGAAGCAGGCTCCCTGCCAAGCAGAGAGCCTGATGCGGGGCTCGATCCCAGGACCCTAGGATCATGACCCGAGCCGAAAGCAGACACTTAACTGACTGAGCCACCCAGGCGCCCCCAAAACATGATAGTATTAATACAATTCAGAGACCAAGACAGATCTGTCAAAAATTTTAAAAAATGATAGCAGGAATTTAAAAAATGTAATAGAAGAGATAGATAGCAAAGATAAAGAAATCCTAGTAGGTGGCGGGTGCCTGGGTGGCTCAGTTGGCTAAGCGACTGCCTTTGGCTCAGGTCATGATCCTGGAGACCCAGGATCGAGTCCCACGTCGGGCTTCCTGCTCAGCAGGGAGTCTGCTTCTCCCTCTGACCCTCCCCTGTCTCATGCTGTTTCTCTCTCAAATAAATAAATAAAATCTTAAAAAAAAAAAAAAAAGAAATCCTAGTAGGTGGTCAAAAAGACAGTAGGAGAAAAGAACTAAGAGAAGTATAGGATCTGGCCAAGAGATAACTTCTGAATCACAGAATTTCTAGAAAAAGAGCACTGAATAAACACAGGAGGAAGCTGTCATCAAAGAAGTATAAGAAAAATAAATAAAATCTTTAAAAAAAAAAAGAAAAATTTCCAGAAACAAAGGATATGAATTAGAAGGTTGAAAGAACTCACTGTAACATCTATAAAGAATGGGAGAGAAAAATTACACGAAAGCCCATTGTGAAATTTCAGAACCCTTTGGTTTACCATATAAAGGTATATGTAAAAAATGGGTCTCAGAAGAGCATCCAGTTTCTCATGTCAGATTTCTCCGTGCACTAGAAACTAGAAGCCAAACTAGAAACTAGAAAGCTAAGAAGACAACATAGGATCCAGCAAACAAGGAATCCCACTTAGGAAAACAGTAAAGAAAACGTCAAGGTGATGAATGAAAGCGATAGGGTGACCACCGCATAGCAGGCCCAGAGAGCCAACTATTCCAGGAAGAGGATGGACAAGGAGGGGAGGGCTCCAGGAGGTCTGTCTCTTTAAAAAAAAAAAAAAAAGGTAAATTACATGATAGGCTTGCCTATAGTGAGAGGAGTTTTCTGCCTATGGCAGAGAGTTAGGGGACTAATTTCTGGTTTGCCAGAGGCTAGGTATCTTTGTGTGATAGTTTTTGGGTCTAATGTAGTTACTTTGATTCCACAGTGTCTCATGCAGGAGCCTCCATGTCATCTGCTTCGTCAGACACTGGAATGAGTCCCTCATCCTCATCTCCCCCACAAAATGTACTTGCTGTAGAATGCAGGTGATAAACGTTTTCTCTGCCTTCCCAGCAGTTTGCTGCCATGGACATAAATCCCAAAATCCTGAAATACAACCACAGAAAGCACTCAACTGGTTTGACATTGCTAAGTATATCCTGTATACCTTTCCAGGCTGGATTGTATCTATTCCCTCTCTTTTCTTTTTTTCTGTTGCAAAAAATAAGCTGATTAATAATTGAAGGTTAGGCAGCCTGCCATATTTGTCATAATTTTTCCTCTTTAATTTTTCATTTTTTGTGAAGATAGAAAAAGGGCACTTAGCAAATTCAATTTGTATAATAAAGCTTTCAAATATTATAGAAATCATAGACAAGCAAGTGCACATGATAAACATCAAAATATTATCCAGCTGAATAGTGACTGCTGCACTTTCACTAAGATGTATTTGAACACTTGGTGAGTAGGGGGTTTATGTTGTTGTTTTTTTTATTGTTGTTGTTTTTTTATTTTTGTGGAAGCACTTGCTATTTAGAACTGCCAAAGTATATGTTCAGCAGTGTGCCCAGGTTTAAAGGTGTAAATGGGACAAAATAAATTGTGAAAGGAAGTGTAGTTGACTGAAAACTACAGTTGTAATAAGTCTTCCACTTTTTATAGGATTTTTGAGCACACAATTATGCAAATATTTTAATGTTTATTAATGTTTACAGTGGAATTGTGAATAAGTTTTCAGTGGACTATCTTATCCCTTGACAAAAATATTTTGTCTTTTTTCTATGTAATTTCAGAGTTTTTATTTTGTTACAAAAAGACAAAAATGAAATATATAACAACAATGAAGTTATTTAACAAGATTTCTAAAGCTGAAAATTTTGTGTAAAATAAGGTATTATCTTGCAACTTGTTAAATATATTTATTCAGACATTGGATGTTGTATTTTTATGTATTTTTTAAAATATTAATAAAATTGAAAAAAAGAAAATTCTAGGTTAATTCACTCTTTGGATGACAATAGCTCTCAGCTGTCCCTTTTACAGGAGGTTGCATCCAGTAGCTTTGCCTGTATTGAAGGGAGTCTCTCTCAGTCCTTCAAACAGTATAGAACTATAAATGGGCATCTGGATCATTAAAGTACGTCCTCGTTTAGAAACTTTGGCAGTCCTAGTATTTAAACTGTTTTGAGGATCAAATTTTTGGTTGCCCTTAAAATACTTTGTCATAGTTTTTATGTTTGCTATACTGCCGAATAAATTTCTATCTCCCAAAGTTGAGATGCAACAACTAAGTAAAGCAACTATGTATGCTTTGTCTGTGAATTGTTCCACAGACTGATACATTTTGTAAATAATTCCAAAATCATGTATTTAAAGCATTTTTGCCATATACATTATGTAAAAAGGTGATTTTTTAAAATCAGTTTTTAAATTCATGTTTGTACATTGAAAGGGGTTTTTTTTAAACCTCCTTTTCTGTGTTTAATATGCTGTAGAGTAATAAATAACCTAGATGCTCTAGACTGTATATCAGGACCTGATTGACAAGAACAAAGTCAGAGCCAAACACTAGTGATGGCATAGCATTACCGAAATCATTGTTTCTTAATTTCATTTTACCACATTGTGAACTTGTGATTCAGATTCCTTCCATTTTCGCAGAGAATTAAAAAGAAAAAAGTACTCTTGTAAAATGCACTTTTCTGTCTTTTCTTTGCAAAGCAGAAGTATTTCAATGTAAAATAAAAATGGAGCTCAGTGGGCAGTATTAATAAAGGCCATGTTTTAAACATAGGCTTTATATTTTTAGTTTTCATTTAAGTGATTGTTTTTTTCCCAAGTGCCAGTACCCTTAACAGTTGGAAAATCAGACTTTGCAAAACAGAGCATATTCGATATATTTGTCAGTCTTTGTAATAAAATATTTCTAGTACTTAATTATAAAAGTGAAAACTCATTCACAACCAGTTGAAACTAGGAGGCAACCTTAGATTCATATGTTAAATATTTTATTGACTTCCTTCAGTAGCAATTCAATAAATGAGAGAACTAGTTATCAGCTTGAATATCATTCCTTCTAATCAGTATAAATCTGGTAATGAAGTATTGGGACCTTGCTCCAGAGAACAAAATTATATACATTCAATGGGTATATGGACACTATTAAAATCCTTTTATTTTGGAGCTGGAGAGGATTATGAAAGTAAGTGAAGACTAAGTATTAAATCTAAATATTAGGCATATTTTGAGTTTAGCTAAATTTTGGATAGTGCTTGCATGTGACTAAAAAAGTAAAAGTATAAAGACACTCTTCAATATCTAAAGTAGAAGCTGCTATCTATAAAGTTAAGTTCTTGAAGATTATGGAGATTTGTTTCACTTGTGTGCTTTTATTGTTTATTGTGTTTCTAGTTTTCCTGTCCTTCACTAAGAAACATGTTTGTACTTAGCATATACATACTATGTCTTCTATGAAATTGCTTTAAATTACGGAAATCCATATGGGTTAAACTATTAATTTGTTTATATATCACTCTTTTAAGTCCTAAAATACACTTTTTTTTAAAAACGATTTTATTTATTTGACAGAGGGATATAGCGAGAGAGGGAACACAAGCAGGGGGAGTGGGAGAGGGAGAAGCAGGCTTCTTGCAGAGCAGGGAGCCCGATGCGGGGCTCGAACCCAGGACCCTGGGATCATGACCTGAGCCGAAGGTAGACGCTTAATGGCTGGGCCACCCAGGCGCCCCTAAAATACACTTTTCTTATAAGCCCTGTAATTTGACATAACTGTCAACACTGTGAAAGCATTTGAAGCTATATTCAACCACACATAAAAAAATATCAGAATTCATTCATCAACAATTTATTAGTTATCTGTTAAGTGCCAGGTATTGTGCTAGGCCCAGAAGTTACAACTGTGAACAAGACAGAAAAAGGTCCCTGTCTTCAAGCAGTGCATAATCTGAGGAGGTGGATTATACACAGGTGCCATGAGATACAATAGAGGAGCCCAGCTATGAGCTGGGAAGGCTTTGCAGAGAAGGCAACAATAAAACTGAGCCCCAGTGAGGATAATGAATAAGCTAAAAGCAAATGGGAGGAAAGATGGGAGAGGAGAATAAAGCACTCCAGGCGCATGTGGCTTGGAGCTACTGAGCCAGGGTAGGAATAGACTTGCGGTAGGAGAGGTAGGAGCCAGGTCACGCAGGGCCGTCCATTTGGTAAACAGTTCTTACCAAATCATGTATTCAAAGCAGTTTTGCTGCTTTAAGCCCAAACACGGCACCTGTCCACCTCTGCCTCTTACTCCTGCTTTCGCATCACTCTGTCCCTACTTTGTCCACAGCCATCTCCGCAGCCACTTTCCATGAAGCTTTTGCTGGCCTCCTTTTATGCTCTCACGGCATTTTCAATCTATTCTTTTACTTGACAACTTACCTTGTATTACGTTTACTTGTGCATGTGTCTTTCTTCCCTACTAGATGTTAGTTCTTAAGTACTTGGTCATACTTGCATCCCACAAAGTGCCTGATCCATCATCTAGTAATACACAGTAAGATGGTCAAAAACTATGCTTGAAAAACTAAGTTGAGAAAAATTACTTGTGAATTGCTATAGTTTGTTTTTTACCAGTGATTCTTATGTACAAGCCAGACGTTTATAAGTTGTCTTTGTGGTTCTTTTCACAAGGTGATAATGATAAAATATCATTTAAAAAGTGTAAAGTAGACCTATTAAACTGTCTAATCCCCAACTCAGAGTATTCTTAAACTGATGAGTTTTTTCCCCTCCTTGTTTCTTCTTCCTTCTTCCATTACTCCACATGATTACACCCAGATTTTTTATCCTATTACAGGAAGACTACAGTATATGATGGCATTCATCATTAGTGAAGGTTGAAGGACTCTTAAGATGGAGTCTGTGCTACTGGAGAATTTCTAATATTAGTGTTTTCACACAGAATTCTTTAAGTTATTTACATTTTATTACAAAACCAAATGTTTTTCTTGTTAAGCACAAAAAAAACTTTTCATATATTATACTAGACCCATTATATCTTTTTAAATAATTAGAAGGGCAGTGTTTATAATTTTAGAATTTACAGTTAACATAATTATGAAGCTATCTTCATTTTGTAATCTGTATCACTAAAATTCATTTTGAAAAGCTCTATTGTGAAAAACTTAAAACTTCCATGTAAATATAATAAAGGATTATTCTGCACAATTGGATTTCTTCTCACGGCTAAGTTATATTAAACAAGACAGTCTGATTCAAGATTCTCACCACTTTAAGTTGCCAGATTTAGCAAAAAAAAAAAATGCAGAACACCCAGCTAAATTTGAATTTCAGACAATTTTTTAGTATAAGTATGTTCTATATAAAAATTATGTTATTTACCTGAAATTGAAATTTAACTAGGCACCCTGTACTTTACCTGCAAATCCTACAACTAATTTCTTTTCCACTATATTCCAAGAGATAATATTATCCTCCAGATAAGCTTTTCTCGGTCCCCAAACCTTCTTATGGAGGATAAGAAGCTGCAGAAGTTTCTTCTGGTTTCCAAGGATGAATGCGCCTTGGCAGTCCGTAAGTGATTTTTAGAATTAACCATTTCCTTGATGTAGTCATTATCTCCCAGACTGGCCCTATAATAACCAAGCTTTGACAAAATAGTTGTGAATGCACTTAGACTTCACTGGTGGCTTTCCTTTGATGGGGCACTTTCCCCCATCAAGTGGTAACTGCTCTCTGAAATTCTCTTGGATCCCTATCCAAACCTGTTCTCAAAAACCTAGACTTGGGGCACCTGGGTGGCTCAGTTGGTTAAGCATCTGCCTTCGGCTCAGGTCATGATCCTGGGGTCCTGGGATTGAGCTCCACATTGGGCTCCCTGCTCGGTGGGGAGCCTGCTTCTCCCTCTCCCTCTGCTTGTGCACTCTCTCTCTGTCAAATAAATAAATAAAATCTTTAAAAAGAAAAACAACCTAAACCAAACCTAACTCCCTTGAAATTAAAAACTTTCTAGGCATTTAATAATTATGAATAAAAGCCACTATAAATATACACATAAAGGCTTTTGTGTAGACATACGTTTTCATTTCCCCTGGGTTAACACACAGGAGTAAGATTGCTGGATTATATGCCATACGATTTTGCATTCCCAGCAGTGATACACAAGAATTAAGTTGCACTACATCCTTGTCAGCACTAGATATATTCAGTCGGTGTTTTTTGTTTTTTAACCATTCTAATAGGTGTATAGTGGTATTTCATTGTGCTTTTAATTTGCATTTCCTTAATGCATCAGAAAGTATGTAAAGAAATGGGGCTCCCAGGTACTGCGTGCAAGTGTAAATTAATGTCTGTTTGGATTTGACATTATCTAATAAAGATGAAGGGGAACACTCCCTTTGACCCAACAGTTCCATATATCCTAGAGAAAATCTGCATATGCTCGAGGAGATCTGTATTAAGACTATTCTTTGCAGCATGGTTTGTGTTGACTAAACATCTTAAATGCCCATGAGCAGAACAATGGATAAATAAATTATGGCTAACTAATTAACTGTAGTACTACAGAGCAGTTAAAATAGATGGACTAGAGCTAAATATATCAACATGAATAAATATCAAAAACAAATGAGTGAAAAAAGCAAGTTGCCAAACAATACATATATCTCTACAAAATTTAAGGATACAGAACATTAGTTTTGTTTATGTAGCCATAAAACCATAAAACCCTGAGTGTGAATGATGAATACTCAAATTCAGGAATGGGTTTCTCTGGAGAATAGGGAAAGGAATAGAGAAAGGTATACGGGGACATTTATTTCCTCCTCCAAAAAAAATATGACAATATGCTAAGATTTGATAACCTGTTTATCATATTATTTTGAATCCTTTACTATATTTGACATATTTTTTTTAAAGATTTTATTTATTTGACAGAGAGAGACACAGCGAGACAGGGAACACAAGCAGGGGGAGTGAGAGAGGGAGAAGCAGGCTTCCCGTGGATCAGGGAGCCCGATGCAGGGCTTGATGCGGGGCTCAATCCCAGGACCCTGAGATCATGACCTGAGCCGAAGGCAGACGCTTAATGACTGAGCCACCCAGGCACCCCATCTGAAATATTTTATAATTAGGAAAAAACAGCTAATGAACTATTGCACAGGAAGGTGAAGATAACCGATGGAACTGAATACCGTTACCAGTGAGTCAAGGTCCATGCGTATGATCTCAACCCTATGCGAAAAGCATTGCTATTTTGTTTTGACACACAAGGAAACCAGTTCCAAATGAACAAGGGAATAAAGTAGCAGAATTAGAATTAGGACGCCAACCCATTTCTTATGGCTTCCAAGTCCAGTATTTGTTACATTACATTAGTGCTGTCTTAAGAAGCTTCTGCTCCCTGAGAATAATGGTTGCATTTTTAACAAAGACATCATTTTAAATAACTACAAGGTGAGCTTAGGGTCTGGGATTCTCCTTTTAAAACTTACAAGCACTCATTTTATAACAGCTAACCATTTGAATGTGGCAAATCACTTGACTTTTCTTTTTTTTTTTCTTTTTTAAAGATTTTGTTTATTTATTGAGAGACAGAGAGAGAGAGAGAGGCAGAGGGAGAAGCAGGCTCCCAAGGAGCAGGGAGCCCGATCGGGACTCAATCCCAGGACCCTGGGATCATGACCTGAGCTGAAGGCAGACGCTTAACCATCTGAGCCACCCAGGCGCCCTCACTTGACTTTTCTAAGTGTTAGTTTTTCTACCTGTAAAGT